ACCTGGCGCTAAAGGGAATTTGAGACACAGAAGCAGCTTCTCTGGGAGACTGCAGAAGCCTGCCAATGCTAACCCGTGCACAGCATGGGCAGCTGGGATCCTGCAGCGGGAGGCTGTCCGAAGGAGATGAGGGCATAGATCCATGCAGTGCCTTTCATTCTGCTCCCTTGTCTCTGCCAGGAGAAGACCAAGTTCCTGGGGGAGAATTACCGTGAGGAGGGGCCCCAAGGCAACAACATCTGGAAGACAAATGTAGCTCAGATCCGCATGGCCTATCGCTATGAAACCTGGTGCTATGAACTCAACCTCATCGCAGAGGGGCTGAAAACCATGGAGTAGATCCTCAAACTTGCCTGGACCCTGACGCCTCCTCTACTCTGTCAGGGCCTGGGGCAGCCCAGAGCCCCACCCATGACTGCACTTTGCTTTCTTGTGGTGGCAGCACTGGGAGATCATGTCCTTTCTCTGTGATGTTACTAGCCCTGGGTGTTCAAAAATCACTAGTCGGGCCCTGAAAATCATGAGATTTTTAACAAATAATAAAGTTGGCTTCTTTTTCTTTGCTGTGTGGTTTCTGGGTCACTTGGTGTCATGTTTTCAGGCATTTCTCTGTAGCCATGAGGGCTGGAAATGTACTTTTTGCAAGCAAAAGGTGAGAATCTCTCTTAATCACAGGACTCCAGGAGCTGGAGCTTTACGAAAAAATCAGATATGGTGAGTGGCGATTAAATCACCAGAGGTGGTAACACAAATTCTGCCTGTTCAGATATTCACAAATCAGAAGCAAATGACTCAGCTCCAGACTTCTACACGTGCTGTATCGATGCTGTATGCGGAATAACTCCCAGCCCTATGACAGGCTATACTGCACCAGCCTGCATTGCGTGGATAAGCCTATTCTGAGGGAATCAGCCCTGAAAAGCTTCAGTCTGCCTGTCCTCTTGGCAAGTGCTGACAGTGAGGGGGCACAGGTCAAGGATCACATCAAGACTAAGCTATCTCTGTCCCTTGGAGCCCATGTAAGCAATAGCCCAGAAGGCAATGGCAGCCCTGCATGGGTGGGAGTCAGGGAAGGGTGGAGCTGGCAGGCATCCACTCTCTCACACACACACGGGCATGTGCTGGAGGTGTCCTGAGCCAGTGACAGGAAGAAATTTGCTCTCACTGGACTGAAAGACAAATTGAGTAGCCAGTGAATCCCAGGTGGTAGCCAATAACTGGCCTAGCTCCCACTGGTCCATTTTTGTTCAGAAACTGTTACTCAGCATCCTAAGTGCAAAATGATTACATTATTTCCTTGCCTTTGTAAGCCTCAGCCCTAGTTGTTGTTAACAGATAGCCTAATATCCCATCTATGAGCCGTCCCCACCAATAGTTTAAACAGCTGCTGTTTTCTCTCTCAGCTGTCGTCAGTACACAAATGCCCTTTCTCTGTTAGTCTCATCTAGCTAGCTAGATTCTTACTTTGATCATGACATCCCCATGACTTATGGCTGCATTGAGTGGGGACAAGAAATACAATTAAAAGGTAAACTGCAACCAGAATCGTATAAGCGCTGGTTGTTGCCTTGCTTCAGCCCCTACTATTCTATTGCAGAAGCACCTAGGAGCCATGGTCATGGACCAGTCCCCCACTGTGCTAGGTGCTGTACAAACACAGAACAAAGATGGTCATGCCTGGAAATAAATCCTTCACTAGGTTGCTGAAGGCTGAAATTGCTCTGTTCATATCAGTGATATGTAACGAATGCTAGAACATAATCAAGCACATACGGATCTGCTGCCATATCTCATCATCATTACTATTTGTAGACCCATAGCATGCAAAGGCTCCCCTTGTGATGGGCACTGCACAGCCAGAGTATGTTTCTTCACTTATGGTCCTAAACTGTGCAGCCTTGCAGGGTTGCTTAGACATGACAGCTTTTTTTCTATGATGGGGAAGAGACTCAGGTATGGATAGTTTGGAAAGTGTCTTGAGAGCCTCATAGATGAAAGGTTTCAGAGTAGCAGCCGTGTTAGTCTGTATCCGCAAAAAGAAGAACAGGAGGACTTGTGGCACCTTAGAGACTAACAAATTTATTAGAGCATAAGCTTTCGTGGACTACAGCCCACTTCGTGAAGTGGGCTGTAGTCCACGAAAGCTTATGCTCTAATAAATTTGTTAGTCTCTAAGGTGCCACAAGTCCTCCTGTTCTTCTTTTTTCATAGATGAAAACGTGCTTTGTAAGTGGAAGTTGTTCTTAGTAACGATTTACTGTCCTATGAGAGTCAAAGCCTACGATTAAATATTTGTGCCATTAATAAATGTACAGTGACGGGAAGGGAATCACAGTACTGCACAACTATCCTGTCCTTTGGAATGAATGCCTAAATGTTGCCATCTAGTGGCTTTTCGCTGCAATTACACTGCTGTAGCAAACACAACAGCCCTGCATTTACTTGCAAGGGTAGGGGCCCAAAACACAAAATTAAAACATCTACACGTGTCAAGCATCCACAAGTAGATGCCACAGCTCCTGCCTCTGAACCCCACAGAACACTGCCGGCATGCCTGGAGTAGTCCTGGGCCCTGTCTTCAGGACTTAGTTTGTTGTACTGGACTGTGGAGTGGAATTTGATTTTCCCTCCAGAGAAATAAATGGAGAGTGTATGGATAGTGTCAGAAGCTGTTAGATGGCAATAGGGTATTTAATTCTATCATGTACTAGTCTGTATTGTGTTATACTGTGTAGCTGCGCTGGCTCCCAGGGCTGTCAGCAACCCCCACCTTCCCTTCTGTCTCACAGAGGGGGGCCCAGCCAGTCCTTCCTAAAGGAATTTCCTATTAGGCTTTTGGGGCCTGAGGCAGGATCATCCCAGTTGCTGGCTCTTCAGCTGCTGAATTCTGATACCTCGGTGTGAACCAATGCGAGTAAGTGTGAAGAGGCTTTGGGAGAGCTGTGTGGTCGCTGGGAGAGGCCGCACCACACAGATAGGCACACGCCTGCTGAGCTCATCTTTGGCACCTACAGCCCGTAGCACTGACACAGCACCTTGCAGTATGCAGCAGGAGCTGGGGCTTCCTAGCACCTGAGCCTGCATGAACAGATGGCAAGGCGTGACGGGTGTATATCGCTCCGGGTGGGAGTAATGAGGTCACAGGCAGGGTGCGTCACAGTGAGCTTTGCCTGAAGTTCCAGCCTTTCCCAATCCTTGCTTTACCCCTGGCAATGGCCAGATTGTCACCAAGGTGCCAGGCGCCAAGACTCCAGAGGGTGGCACCGCTTCCTGCATGCCCAATAGAGTGATGGAGCTGGAAAGTGGCAGGCAGTCTGGGGTAGTCGGGAGCTGTTATGTAAACTAGGGCTCCAGAGGCATGTGGGGCCACACGTTTCGGGCCTGGATGTTGAGGACCCCATAGCCTCGCTGTGTTCAGGGGTCAGGAAGCTCAGGCTGGGGTGCAGCCCTTCAGGATGAGGGCCCCATTTCCAAAGGCCTGTTACCCCTGGGTGCGCTGTCAGGTCTCTGCTCAGGATTTGTCAGGAGTGTCCTCCACTCCCCGGCTGGCATATGGGATCCCGCCATAGAGCTTGGGTGAGTAGTCACCAGCCAATGGGTGTGTGGGAACCGCTTGCACCCACGATTCACTATTGCCTGTGGCTGGTCACCTAACTCACATGGCACTGGTCAGGTCGTGCTCCCCAGTTGCAGCCCTGAATCCCAGTGAAGGTGTCACTTCCCCCCGTTTTGGGGATGAATTTTAATTTGTGTGGTAATCCCTGAGATGGGCGGGGTGCCCGCCCCAGGGACACGCTAGCACTGTGGGGGCTTGTGACATAGGGAACGTGGCAGCACCTTGACTCAGAGGCCCTCCCCAGATCGGTGTCGGCATAGAAGGGGGTGCTCCTGGGGCAGGACAGGTGGGGTCTCCCAGGGAGGCAGGATGGGGAGTGAGGGTGTCTCCCTGGGGGTCACGTCGGAGGTGGGGGTCTGTCTCCCTGTGGGGCAGGTCAGGGCCGTGGCTCAGGCTGACGGACCCGGATCCGCCCCCCAGCGGCGGGTCAAGGCGGCCGGTGCCAAGGAACGAACCCGCGAGCCATGCAGTGCGTGTCCCTTTAAAAGGCGGAGCTTTGGGCGGGGCCAGGTGTCTGAGTGGCGGTTGCGTTGCCCAATGGGATGTTGCCCAAATGTATGAAGCTAGAGACGACCGCGGGCCTCGCTGAGGGGGGCTGGAGGCGAGATCGGACCCGGGTTTTTGCGGGGAGCAAGTGAGACCCCGGCCTGGGTGGGCTCTGTTGCGGTGACCGGGGCCCTTGTGATGGGCGCTGCGCGGACACGGGGTCCCCGTGGCGCCGGGCGCTGCGCGGACGCGGGGTGACCCGGGTGGGGGGGTCCCCGTGGCGCCGGGCGCTGCGCGGACGCGGGGTGACCCGGGTGGGGGGGTCCCCGTGGCGCCGGGCGCTGCGCGGACGCTGGGTGACCCGG